TTTTTTACTTCCATTTCACCATCTGGGTGCTACTTTCAACTTGAGTCTGCTGCCTTTAGCTTTTAGCTTATGTTTTGCGCAACAGGCATTCACCCTTGCATTTTCGTAGGAAATGCAAATTCTCTAGTTTTTATTTGTTTTTATTCTTCCATCCAGGTCACACAGTTCAAATTAAAGGCCTAACGTTTCTTGAAGGAACGCCCATCAGCTTTCATACCAGAGTTTTAGACCAAGATCAACTTTGGTTGCGAAATAACAAATTTTGAACCTTTTTGGTCAAACCTTGAGCAAAATAATATACAATCTAATCAAATATGGCAAGAACTACCACATCAGATGTTAGCTAATTAGCTAATTTATACTCATTTTCTGTTAATTAGCTGTGGTTACCATCTTGGATTGAATTGACTTCAAAAGTTAATCAGTTATAGAGTAATACATTTTTGAGATTTTCTTAAAAATCTGTTTGGTAGCTCATAAGATATTTTACTAACATACCTGACATAGCACAGGTAATGACTTCATAAGTTCTGTCCATCTGTCTCTGCCTCAGTATTTCTTAGGGGGTTGTTCATAACCTGCCATTTGCACATCTAAAAACCCAGCGGAACAATTTTTTTTGACATGTTAAGTATTTTCCACACTGTTATTTTTTTTAATTTATTGTTATTTTTTCACTCCAGGCCCAACGTTTGCACAGACAGGAAGGTGACGCTGGTTGCCCAGAGGCAGCCGTGTGTGCAGGCCTTCACACGCATGGCCAAAGTGTGGAAACAGGGCTGCGTGGGCCAGCCGTGGTGCGCGGGACACGAGAGGAGGTGAGTAACACAGCCCATCTGCTAGTGATGTTTGATACTGCCAATTTTCTTTACGTTACTGATACCGAGTAAAATTTGCTCGGTGTCGGCAATACTGATACTTTGTGGTAACACACATAATGTGTCTGGTAATTCTTAAAAAGTAGCGTTTTTCAAATAACCGCTTTACAAATAAAACATGACATAGTACTATATTTATTAATTTAAAAGTGTAACCCTAACCCTAAATTTGTTTAGCACAATTTAAAATTCTTATTCTAAAGAAATATTAAAATGTTTGAATAGTGAACAAAAGTGAAAAAAAAAAACATTCTAAAAGTTGTTACTTTGTAGATGTTGTAGCATTGTTTGTGGGCAAGAAGGTCCTTGGCCAGAACTAATGCTGTTTGGGGGGACATGGCATAAAAAGGTTTTGGAACCCCTCATCTAAAATGTACTTACAGTCAGACGAAGCAGATTTTATGTTAAAATGACCTGCCATACATCTAGACTGAGTGACTAAGCACATGCCACTGTGCTTATGCGTTACCCAAGCAGAAGAAAAAGCAGTTCCCTCCAACCACATATGATTTAAACAAGATTGGAATAGTTTAGTTATTTTCCACTATTTTCCTGTTAATGATATACATTATGTAAAATAACTGCAGTATCAAAGTATCGATATTTTGATTTTAGTATCGATTCTGGAGCATAAAGTTCTGGTATCGGTAGTATCGATGTTTCAGTGTCGATCTGCACATCACTACCATTTGCAGTTTTGTCCGCACACAACAAAAGCCTCAGTCTGCTCCTAAACAAACACTCCACAACATCACCTGCAGGGGATGCAACGCTTTGCTGATTAAACTCCGGCAAGTCCCAAGCCTTAATTGATGGGTTTTCTTCAGCCTCAGCGTTCCACAGTGAAAATCATTTATCCAAGAGGCCTTGATTTTGTCATTGAGCTCCATCTGCAAACAGGATGAGACATGGCTTCCGAACTTCCTTCTTCCTCTCGGTCTGTTTTCGCTCCTGTTTTGTAATCACAGCTTTGCTGCACAGTTAGGTGCCCCCCCC